TGAAATAAATACCTTTTGCTGCTTAAAGACCCAAAACTGTCTCTGAGCAGTTTCATTGTGCCTTTTTGGGCATCACATGATCAACTAGGAAATACCACAATTCAGTTTGTGGGGTCTGTCTGCTCTCTCTAACTGGGGAACATCTGGCTCTGACTTCAGAGGCTCTCGTTCGCACTGGTGCCATGTGGAAGCTGTTTTCCTTCATCTCCTCTCTAAGTTTCTTCTGTTCATCTTGTACTTTTGTAGTCAGTGTCTTGATGCTCTCAACCATTGTCTCTAAAGTGGAGATATGGGCCCGTAAGGGGGTGCGGACCATGCTGTTGTACATCCTGAGTTTATTCATTACAGATCCCACTGTCTCTGTTTCCTCCAAAGTGCAGTGATGCCAAGAAATTGGTGTATACAGATGGCCCTTGCTGTGAAAGGCTCCACCTGAAATGAGAGCAAGGCCTAAAAGAGTTAATTGAGGTATCTTGCTCTGTTTAGAGAATTGCCCAAGACCTGATCTGCCTGTGTTGCTAAGGAATCTTTGCAAAAAAACATTGATAACTCATTCTGTTCTGCTTACTGGACCTAAACCTAATCATAAGAAGAATGCTAGAAATGCTATACAATCAACCTAGAGGTTATAAATTAGGACAAGGTAGACATCTGAATAGGAGAAAAGGGCTTAGAGCCAAGGGTTTTTGCAAGCTTACATTAATACTAGAGGGGTAATAAGGTCAAAGCGAGGAAGAAGAGAAATAGACCCCTGAGTCAAGGCTGAAGGCCAGAAGGACCACCAAAACTCCGTGCCAAGAGAAGAATCTGGAAAGCACCGCCCTAAGCTCTGCCCAGACTCCACCTAGACTCCACTTATCATTAATATGTAAGATTAGATGTTGTAACCATATGAATATGTATGTTGAGATGTTGTAATCACATATGTAGACTGTATAAATTACCTTGTTTTACCTTGATGCCTTTCAGCAAGTTTTTCCAGCGCCAGCTGGCTTGCTCCCAATGTTGAATAAACAAATACCTTTGCTGCTTATAGATGAAAACATCTGAGCAGTTGATCATTCCGGGGTTTTTTGGCATCAACTACATTTGTGACGTACACCTGACATCGTTGAGGTTGTGGTTGGGTTGCCCATCCTTTTCAAAAAGTATGTCAAACAGTGCCATTTCTCTCAGGAGTTGGATATCTTCTTCCATGGTCTTCCAGGTCGTCTCATAGTGGTGTTGCTGCAGGAAGTCTCTGTAAACAAACTTCACTCTCACACCTATTAGAAGTCTCTCCCAGAGAGAAAGGGGCTTTGACTCCCTCACAAATGCTTGCTCGATGCCTACATCCTGGGTCAGGGATCCCAAATACCTTGCTTCGTTGCCATCAAGTGGCAAGCCTTCACACATAAGGTTCCACACTCAAATCAGCCAGGTCAAAATGGGCTCGTCTTGGCGTCAAGTAATGTCATTCTGCATATTGTGGAGCTGGTCATGTGGAGGTATGCAGCAAGGCCGTGGAGCCTAGCAGCAAGGAAAAAATGTAAATAAGAAGTGAACATCCAATCATATGTGAAGGTTGGTAATAATATATAGATAATAGAGCTAAGAATAGTTTTGGTATGTAAGATTCTACAGGGAGAGTGTGAATGCTTCTGTGTGAGAACAAGATGTAATATATTGGATGAAGCAATAAAAAGTTGAATTTAGGCCATCATCATGAAGTGTCCAGTTTTTATTTTTATGGTCGTCCTCTATATACTACAACATGGTCATATGACAGGGATTCGGTAATGATGTCCACTGCTTGTGAAGGTCCTGATTCCCTGTCCTAGTTAACTGGGCGTATTGACTTGGCTTTATACTACTTCCTCTGGGGCCACTTCCGCTGGCTGTGACTTCCTTTCCAGTGTGACTGGGGACTGGGGACTGAGCACTTGTGATGTCTCTTGGTTTCTCTGCTCCACTATCTTTCCCTTCTGACTGTAGGTGGTGTTGCCCAGTCCATACCATGGTGTGGTAAGCATGGACTAAGGTTCAGCACATTGCTATAAGCTGTCCATCTCTGAAATTTATGGACCGATGTTCTTTCAGGCACTCAACAGCCTTACAGGGGATCTGCGTTTGGTCAGGGGAGAGCTTCCAAACAACTGGGGGAGAGTATTCCTTCAGCACCTGGCCTATCTCCTCCCAGTCTCCAATTCAATCAGAGTGATTTATGTCTATGGTGGGCTGTTGGGCCATGGCAGGTGATTGGACAGTGGCAGGTGGTTGGACAGTGGCAGGCTGTAGCACAGTGTCAGGCAGTTGCAGAGTGGATGGCTGTTGCAGAGTGGCAGGCTGTTGGGCAGGTTCCTGGGTAGAGTCCCTAGTGTCTGGGGTAGGTCTTGGGGCAGTTACCAAAGACAACCTCACCCTGTCTCTAAATGCTGGGTAGGCCACACTGAACAAACACAACAAAAACATCATCAAGAATAGAATGTCTTTAATGTCCAGGGGAAAAATCAACCCTTCAGAAGCTACTGTGGTAAGGCCATATAAGAAGTGGGTGAAGGGTTGGGTGTGACGGTTTGGACCTGGCTTTTTGTCAAATGCCTGAAAGTTACGACAGCAGTCTCTTTCTCCCCCCCCCTTTCTTCCCTTAGGTTAAAGGAAAAGAAACTATAAAAATTAAAGAACCCAAAGTCAAGTTGCTTATGTAAAAATATATCTATATTTACGTAAATTACAGTTATATACAGTTAAGATGCTATATACACAGTAAAAGGGGGTTCACCCCCCGAAGGGATAGGGAAAGAGAAAAAAAGGGAACGAAAGGGAACAAAAGGGACACCGAACAGGTATACTAGATCAAACTCAAGAACTATACTAATAACTAATAAAACAGATCTCACCATGTCCCTTAGAACAGCAGGATCGGCAGTCACAGCCAGCACTCTCCAAACTTCCACGTGGCAGGACGGTGGATTCTGCAGGCCTCAGCCTTAGATAAGCGAGACCAACGCAGGGACCCACTGTTCCCAAACCTCGCAGGAAGAGAAGAGAGAGAGGTCTCTAATCTCCGACTTATTTATACTCTGGTTTACGTAAAAATTGTATGGAATACTGGGTACTTGGCTACTTCCTTGGTTACAAACTGGTCACCAGGAAGGCCTAGACTAAAACCATTACATTGGGGAAAAGCATTTGCCTGTGTTCCTCCCCCAAAATAGGTATCATTATCAGTAAAACCCCAAAAATAGGAACCTGAGTTGTGGTAGTAATGCATCCATGTATATATATTCCAAAAGAGAACTATGGGGCCAGAATTTTTCAGCCACTGGTACCAATTTACAAACTTAATAGCAGCCACAACTATTGCAGCCATGGTATCCATCTTTAAGAAGTGATCCATAACTGGAAAGACCATATACGTGGCCAAATGCCAAAAGAAGTTGGACCACATTGTAGCAGCCAGTGTGAGAAAGGCCTGGGAAATGTCTAGATGACCTTGTATTGTTTATCTAAACCCTTGATTTACAGTCCAGGGAATGGAGCTGAGCTCATGGAGGGAGTGTAGGGTAACTTGAAACTCCAAGGTCTGTGTGTGTGGTGTGTGTGATGGGTCGGTCAATGTATGATTGATGTGTGACTTGCAGCAGTGTTCTGCCTTGATTTGCTTAACCACTCCCAGCTGAAGGTGAATGAGATAAAAACCCTGGATCATTAGCAATCAAGCGATTTCTGTCCATCAAGATAGAAGTCCGTAAATCATTCCATCATACCACATGATGGGTAATGGTGTCTCTGTGCAATACACAGGTGATTAAACAAGAGGGTTTATTCCTTTTCCACTTTTCCTCTAGTCAAGCCCCACAATTTGGGTGCCAATAAATGTCTTTGTTTAACAAGATTACAACTTAGAAATTAAGAAACTTCCGGTGAAAGTGTGGAAAAGGAAAAGAAACAGCTTTTTATTAACAAAAATCTGAATAAACAACAAATAGTGCAATCAAAAACTTTCAGGAGAAACAAAAAAAGTCCCAGTGCCCCAGGTGGGTGAGGGAGAAACCCACAGCAACCCGGGGAGCGGGGGGAAAGGCAGGACTGTCCTGGCAGTTCAACAGCTGCTCACAGTCTTGTGTGCTCACAGCCAGCAATGAAAAAGTCCTTTTTCCTACAGGAAATCTTGAAAGAAGAATACCTTGCTCTGAGATGGGTCAGTCTCTCTCTCTCAGTTGTCCTCTGTGAGGTGTCCCATGGGGAAAAAATCTTCCTCTCAGGAAAAGAAAAAGAGGCAGCCGAAAGTGGGCTCCCGCTCTGTCCGGTCTGCAGACCAAACCCAAAAGCCCCCAAACAAAGCACTCTCCCCAGCTGTCCCTGTGGCAACCGCGCTTCCCCGCGAGCCATCCCCCTCTCCCTGTTCCAGCCCTGCCCAGCACATGCAGCTCCGCTCCACCTCCACCCCCTCCCTGATTCCCCCCATCTCAGAAGAAACAGATGGGGGGGGGGAAGGGGACGGACAGGGGACAGGGACATGACCCTAGGGAAAGAAAAAAAGAAAAATTCCAACATGTCTTTTAAAACCTATGACATTCTTCAGGTATGGCACCCAGTAAAAGCAGGTGGTAATGAAATTATTCTGCTCTCTTCACATAGGCAAATAGATTTCTTATTTACAATGGCAGAACAATGTCAAAGGGAAATTTTGATGATATGCTATTATTTTCAACTTCCTCTCACCCATCAAATAACAAGTACCATCATCACAATACAACTTCTATGGCATTCTATATATAAAGTAAATAAACAAATAAATAAAGCTGTATCTTGTCAGTAGAGTTAGTCAAAGAACTATGTATGAGTCTTCCAATTTAACAATATCAAAACATATCTTAATAACATAGTAGGAAGGTATTGATAGAAATTAGATCAAGAGAGGCAGATTCTGTGCTTAAATAAACCACTCTTTTATGACTAGAAAAGTGACATTTCCAATCATCCAAGTTCAAACAAACAAACAAACAAAAATGTCTTACCTGCCCATGATCGAAATGCTGCCACTATTCCCATTTTACTAGCTAGGAACCGTGCTTCTCTGTCCTCTCTGTCATTAAAATAACAAATGTCACAATACACAGTTAATTACTGTAAAACATTGTTACTAACATAGCAAGTAAAAAGTAGTTAACTGAAATTTTAGTTGGGGGACAAAATCCAGCATAAGAAAAATCTGTTATGTACATAAATATGTGTGTGTGTACATGTATGCCATGTGTACACATACACAATGATTAGGACTTTTAAGTACTGTTACTTTTCTATTTTTAGTGAAGGTTCCATGGTAGGAGGATCACATCAAAATAAACACCTATATTTGGTTGGATGATTCACTCTGAAGCCTCCATTGACAGTAAGACCACAGCAGGAGCCACTTGGACACTGATTCAGTTACATAGACCTAAGCATCTATTGCAATCTAATAACAAAAAAAATCCAAACAACAAAAACCTGATTAATTCAAGTTGTAAGCAATCCCAGGAGGTCTGTAGTCTAAACTCCTGCACATAGAAGTTGTCAGCTCTGAGACCAGACCAGGTTATACACAGGACTTTATCTCGTTGGATCGTAGAAATTCAGTCACAGGATCACAGAATCAATCAGATTGGAAAAGACCTCTGAGATCATCAAGTCCAACCTTTGACTGATCACCACTGTGTCAACCAGAATAGAGCACTGAGTGCCACGTCCAGTTGTTTGTTGAACACCTCCAGGGATGGGGACTCCACCACCTCCCTGGGCAGGCCCTTCCAATACTTAACACTTTCAGTGAAGAAATTCTTCCTGATGTCCAACCTGAACCTTCCCTGGCACAGCTTGACGCTATGTCCTCTTGTCCTGTCACTACTTGCCTGGGAGAAGAGGCTGATGCCTACTTGGCTACAATCTCCTTTCAGGTAGTTGTAGAGAGTGACAAGGTCCCCCCTGAGCCTCCTTTTCTCCAGGCTAAACACCCCCAGCTCCCTGAGCTGCTCCTCATAGGACTAACCCTCTAGACCCTTCCCCAGATTCAGTGCCCTTCTCTGGACTCTGAACTCTCAAGGATGAAGGCTGCAGGACTTCTCTGAACAGCCTGTTCCAACACTTGACTGACCTCACAGAATATATTTTGTTTTCCCCTGATATCAAGTTGGAGCCTTTTGTTTCCATTTCTGAGCCTGACCATACAACCATCAAACATAAAACTAGCTCAAATAGAAACTCCTCATTTTGGATGTTTAAAACTAGATACAAAGAAACCAATACCTGAAGTAAAATATGATGATTGTGATATTTTTTTTAAGTAAAAGAAATATAATGGTGGGAAGGGAAGAAGGGTAAAACTAATTTTCCCTTTTAAATCTGAAATCTTAAACAATATTTTAGGAAGTTGCATTCTAACCCGTTATCATATTAAACTTCAAATAGTTTAATATTAGCTAACTGCTTTTACTTTGTCACTTTAGAGACAAAAATAGTTTAATTCCAGTACCATGAACACAACTGGTAGCATAAGTAGCAGCACTAACACTTACTTGAGTTGTCCTTCTGCTGTGTCTGGATTATGCCTGTAGTGAAAATCTGTGTAAGGAGCTAAAATTTGCTGAACAAAAAAAAGACATATATTACTTTCACATGGGAATAGTTACCAAGTCTTGCCCTTTCCTCAGTCCCACTCTAATCTGTCATTTTATTCACACTTTATAAATCATTAAGTTCTTAGTCTAAAATGTTGCATTTAAACATTTTGCACTAATACAGAGGGTGAAATCTGAAGTGAAAATTAAACATTGTAATTAGTAATACATTGTTTAATTTCTGTCACTAAAGAAGTAAAACTGAACCCACCTCTAACTCTACATCTGCTCACACATACTGTCGGGTCTTTGGATGATTAATGAGGTGCAAAACTGTAGTTATCAGAGCCTCATTTATTCGACTTAGCTGACAATCAATCACATTTTTCAAGATGGTACTCAAACCACCCCGAAGAGCCACCACCTCAGGATTCTGAAGTGCTAAATAAAGAAAAACACATCACTTTGGCCAGTGATAGGAAAGAAAACATTTAACAACTTCCAAAAGGACAAACTTGTCTGGTTAGTAAGTATAACTTTTTCTTCCTGAACACTGCTGAGGCACACAATAAAGCTTTTAATGACTGTCATTATCAATAAATTGATATTTTTGATTATTTTATCATCAATCAAAATGATGGCCAGTCAGTCATCACTCTGCAGTAATTTACCAGCTTATTTTCAACCAAGTTTCCATACAATAGTGTCTGCATTTCCCTGCAAAAAGGTTTTGTGCTTCACTGGACTGACATCCATAAAATATTTATACTAGAATATAAATGAGTAACAGATTGTTCACTTCTTTAAACTAGAAGTTTGTATCTTGAAAATGTTGCTGAAGTTATTTCTCATTGATACAAAACTGGAAACCTTTAAAAATCAGCACCCACATACAAAGTAGAGGGAGATTGTATAAACCACTGTCCAGATAAGCCTTTACATGGACACAAATACTGATTTTTAGAACCTGTAGCAGTTATTAATATAATAAATGATGAGCCCCATAGGGACCATGAGAACACCAATATGGTGTGTAACAAAGGCATGGTTTATTCAAGGAGCCACAACTTATATAGCAGTTTCAAATGCTGACACATCACAACAGGTGACCTTATCAGCCAATCCCATACAAGCATTTCACTGAGCATCTGTGACAGAGTACTTAGAACTACAACTCCCAGGATGCTTTGCAGCACCTAGTGTAACTGGACCCCACAAGAACCCAGCTAACCACAGTACCCATTGTAACAATTTTTAAAAGGAAAATGTTCTCTGAACACTTCTACATTTTTCAGCACCTCAGGTACGGAACCTTCCCTACTTCTAATCCATTAGTTTTAGAAACATCACCTACAGCAGAGAAACTTTTTAAAGTAATGCAAAAATTAACAAGTCTTAAAGGAAAGTGCAGTACCTGTAATCTACAGGTACTTCACTTCAGAGATTTTGATTTTAAGTTAAAGTGATTTTGGTTTATATCAAACTAATGATTAAAATATATGATATTGATATTAAGAACATTCCCATCTAATTATTTGAAGACAATCTATTTAATATGAACCCACAGAAGAAAATGTCTTAGAAGACTGATGACAACCACATCAAAATTTCTCATAAATAGCTTTCAGTTATCTTACCTAGTTCACATATAACGGCTATACAAGCTCAAACCATTCTGTCTCTTTCTTGAAGACCATCGTTTCCAACTGCTATCAAAGAATTAATAATAGAACTGGGGAACAATGAAGCATTCACAGTGATCATCTGCCAAAAGTGAAAGAAAAAACCCTCTGGTTTCTTCATAATATTTCTCTATGATTTTATTATAATAAAGTGCAAAAAACACCCTGACTGTTGCAGAGAGAACTGCTACTACCTTCTTCAAATTTTTTTCAAGAATTTCTTTATCAGCAGAGAACACTATCCAACAACAGAGAGTAGATTACAAACTCTTCTAGAAGATTTATTCATAGTGCACCAGATATCTACCTTCAATATCTTTTCAATTTTTTAATTAGCCAAGACTAAACTCTTGTTTTATAGAGATTCTTAGGCTGTTGCAGAGTACAAATAGGACAGTCGGTAAAAGAAACTGCTAAAGTATTTGAAAGGCAACTGTCAGCAACACTCTTGTATCATCTTGTATAGTACCTGATCTTCCATGAGGATTTCCATGGCACAGGAGCTCTTCAGTAGTGTAATAGGACCATTGGCTGTTCCTCTATTCTGTCTTAAATTTATTGCAAATTATTTTTAGTTTTTAATTGAAGAATAACTAACCAAGGTTTAATTCAATATCCCTTTTGTTTTCAACAAAAGCAGGTTTATCACCATTATTTTTTCCAAAATTGTTTTGTCCTATATTCATTTTACAGATATTTTTTCAAGAGGATTAGGTTTTTTCCCCTTTGCAGAAAATTAAAATCAGAAATCAAGAATTATGACCAATATATTTCAGTCCTTTAACAAGTTAATTTTTAAGATGTATTTTTGAGAAAATTCTTGTTATACATGATATTGTCAGCCACAAAACAGAAAGCTTTAAGATAGGACTCTAAACAAAATCCAAACTCTTCACCACCAACGCAGTCTTTCAGTTGTTCAATGACATAAAGTAATAAGAGTTAACAACAGAATGGGTGTACCAATCCACTTTACAAAATGATAACCTTTTTTCTACTGACATTGACATGTACTTAATGTGAGGACACAAGCAGCCTCTTAAAGCTGTTTTGTGTCATTGTTTTCTTTGGTTTTAGGACATCAGAATGAAAAATTTCTTTTTTAATATTCAATCACAAGTATTTTAGTAGAATAAATACAAACAATAAATAAAATCCATTTGCTTTCATTCTACTTTACATATTAAAACACAATTCTAAAGACCAAGGACAAGGCTACATACAAGAGGCTATGATGAAATAAGTAACAAAGACTGAATTTGGTCTTTAAAGATTCCTTTAAATAAAAGGGGAAGAAGATGGTTCATATTATACCTCACTCTAACTTCTACTTTGAAGATAAAATTTATGCCTACAAAATTACTGAAAAATGGGTAGAACAAATTCTATTAGATGGAGAAACACTTTCTGAAGCATTGCTAAAGACAATGCTAAATTACAAAGCTTAGTAGGATATGTAGAGGTGATAGTACTAAACACTGCCACACAGAATACAGACAATATGAGCACTCATATTCATAAAACAGAATTATTATTTTACATTTTTTTTCTTCTACTCTGTGAAAACAAAGAGAAAAAAGTGAGAGAATGTTTTAAAGCTTTATATCTATGCTATTCTTACATGGGTATTTTTGTTATCAAAGATGAGGTTAAAGAATTGCATCCATACTTTAGAAGAGAAAACAATAGTTCTGAGATGCTGGTGGAACCCAGTTCCGCTCTTCCACACCTCATAGTAAACTATCTCCTGCACAAATTATTTAAATCTGATTGTTCTATTTGTCATTCATTCTCTCCTAAGACCTTCATACAATCTTTTAGGAATTCTGGTATCAAACTACTGAGAGTGAGATCTTGTGGGAGATGAGGAGAGATGGAAAAAGGGCAAGAGGAAAGTAATAAAAAGACATTGTGAAAATACAGAATATGCAATTCACAGAATCAGAGAATCATTTAGGTTGGAAAAGACCTCCAAGATCATGGAGTCCAACCTTTGACCGATCACCACCTTGTACACTAGACCAGAGCATCAAGTGCCACTTCCGGTCATTTCTTGAACACCTCCAGGGATAGTGACTTCACCACCTCCCTGGACCACCCTGAAAGGGTGGTGACCCACCACACACCCTGCCCCAAAATGGTGGACTGACCGCATGGCGTGCTGTAAAACCCAAAATGGCACTGACCGATCACGTGGGCCCCATAGGAAACATTAAAGTGCAGGCGAGCAACTGGGCATCAACCACAGTAGACTGTAGTAGATAAAAGGACGGCAACATGGGTGCCCAGGAGCGCACTCTGCTGCCTGAGATTTAGAAGCTGTTGAGACCATGCTAGATCCCAGTGTGGTGACTATCTACCTTTCTCTTGTAGGCGGGGAGGTTCCAGAAACATACATACACGATCTATGAGATCTAAAATATGTCCGATTTATTAGGATAGCTCAGGGTTTTTATAGCATCTGTATACAAGGTCTCCTGACAAGAAGCACACAATTGGTTACAGGTCACTGTCCAGTTGGTTATTAACAGGTAACAAGGCAATAGTTTACTTTATCGAACTCCACCTTCTTCTTGGCACCAATTTCTCTTTGTTCTCGAAAAGACACCCGCAACCATCTTGGGACCTATAACTTATAGTACCTATAAAACTATGTAAAAGTTTATAAAAGTCTATAAAAGTACCTCACACAATATAAATTGCTCACACATTCATCATGTTTCTCCCACAAATCCCCTTTTTTGTTTTTGAGCAATTTATATTACACTAATACAGTCTTAACTTACCACTAACATATTATAACACACAAGTACATATATCCATCACCATTAAAAATAATACCTTCACACACTTATCGTTTATTTCTATCTTATAATGCTAAAATTTATCCCAGACTAAAATTTAATGGATAATATATCAAGTTCACACAAAACCCTCCTTTAAATTCTAAATTTCTATGATTATATGATACTACACTATAAAGCTACCTTATAATAATACTGAAAAAAAACTCTGTAATTCTGAATAGCTTATCTACCACAGTATCAACCTTGTTCTGCAGAATCACTCCCTTTCCAAGGTCTTATCCAATGTGTAGGCAGCCACCAAACTCCTGTCTCTGTGAGGACACAAGCATACCCTCTACCGGTCAGTTTTACCTCTGCAGGCCCCTTCCAGACCCCGGTTTGTGGGTCCTTGTACTGAACTTTCACTGTTACCTGTGGATTTACCAAACCTGACTGCATAGAAGTATTATGAATTACAATGGGAGGGTCCAATCTTCCACCCGTCAACCGTAAAAAATTCAAAACATATAACACTTTCGCAAGTCAGTTATGCGGGCTATCCAGCTCTTCTCCCCCTTTCTGTTTTTGCAAAAGTGATTTCAGGACTCCATGAGCTCACTCGATGATAATGTGTTCTGTAGGAGAATGAGTCATTTCAATAACATGAGAAATACTCCAATCGACACAGAATCTGTGAAAACGTTGTGAGGTATAACCGGACCCATTATCGGTCTTAATTTCTGTGGGAACTCCCAGGGCTGCTATACATGCATGCATATGACGGATGACATATCTGGCACCTTCTCCAGCATGAG